AAGTGCAGGCTGATTTCATTACAGTGGACCGAGGTCCAAATGCCGCCAGCAGTCATCGACCAAGAGTACTAGACGATATACTTTGATGGATCATTGATGAAGAAAGGCGCCGGCATGGGGCTAGTCTTCGTTTTGCCCCTCGAGGTATGCATGAGGTACATGGTTTGCCTCCATTTCTCCTCCTCCAACAATGTGGTCGAGTATGAGGCATTCATCAATGGCCTACGCATCGCCGTCGAGCTAGGTATCCGATGGCTTGACGTCCTGGGGTGACTCCCAGCTGGTCATCGACCAAGTCATGAAGGAATCAAGATGCCACAACACCAAGATGGCTACATATTGCTAAGAGGTTCGCCAGCTAGAGGACAAGTTCAATGGTCTCAAGCTCAATCACATCCCAAGGTGTCTCAATGAGGTGGCTGATGCGCTGGCGAAAACGGCGTCCGGCCGAGAGCCGGTGCCGATGGGCGTCTTCACTAGCGATCAGTACAAGCCCTCGGTCCGCTACAAGGAGCCGGAATAAGCTAGTGACAGGCCGCCTGCCCTGGGCTTGGGGGCTAACTAGCCATTGGCTCCATCCGACCCCAAAGTCATGGAGCTCGACGAGGATCCAACGACAGAGCTTGACCCTCTGGCCGACTAGAGGACGCCTTACCTCGACTACCTCCTCCGTGAGGCGCTGCCGATGGACAAAATGGAGGCTCGGCGGCTAGCATGTCATGCCAAGTCCTTTGTCCTTATTAAGGGCGAGCTCTATAGGCAAAGCCACACTGGGATCCTGCAGCGCATCCCCATCGAACAAGGGAAGCGGTTGCTGAACAACATTCACGGTGGGGTCTACGGTCACCATGTCATGCCTAGAACCCTTGTCGAAAACACGTTCTGGCAAGGCTTCTACTGGCCGACCACGGTAGCTGACGCTTAACATATCATGCGCACCTACGAAGGGTGTCAATACTACGCTCGACAGACCCACCTACCGGCACACAAGCACTCCAAACGATCCCCATCACGTGGCCATTCACGGTCTAGGGGCTTGATCTAGTCAGACCTCTCAAGAGGGCGTCCAGGGGCTATACGCACTTTCTTGTCGCCGTAGACAAGTTTATAAAGTGGATAGAGGCTCGACCGATCCCCGCGATTAAGTTCGAGCAAGCCGTGATGTTCTTCCTTGACATCATCCATCGGTTTGGGGTCCCGAAAACTCCATCATTACGAACAATGGCACATAGTTCATCGGAAAGAAGTTCCTCCGATTCTACGATGAATACCACATCCGCGTCGATTGGGCCGCTATGGCGCACCCCCGCACGAATGGGCAGGTCGAACGCGTAAACGGCATGGTCCTACGTGGCCTCAAGCCTAGAATCTTCAATCGGTTGAACAAAGTTTAGCGGACGATGGGTCACGGAGCTTCCCATGGTGCTCTAGAGCCTGAGGACGACCCCCCCGCCACCACCAACTACACCATTCTTTATGGTCTACGGTTCCGAGGCTATCCTCTCGACCGACCTCGATTATGGAGCGTCGAGGGTCAGGGCATACGACGAATAGGGAGCCAAGGCATCCCTCGAGGATGACATGGATGAGCTAGATGAAGCTCGTGACATCGCCCTCCTCTGCTCAGCCAAGTATCAGCAAGCGTTGCGCTGGTACCATAACCGTCGAGTGCGGGGTTGGGCCTTTGACGTCGGGGACCTGAACTGCCACAAACTCTCTCCATCATGGGAGGGACCATACGTCATCGTGGAAGTGCTTCGACCAGGCACCTACAAGCTCAAGACCATCGACATCGAAGTCTTCATCAATGACTGGAACATCAAACAGCTACGCCATTTTTACCCTTAATATACGTACACTTTCTCTTATCAGTTTCGCTACCAACTCCCCGATCTTTAGTGACACCTGACCCTAGCAACGGCAGGGGTTCGGGCCTCACTCAGGGGCTGATAAGAGCATATCTATCCAGTAGACATTCTCTACGACCAACCCTTTCACATGTTAAGACCTAGAAGCGAGGATTGTGGAAATAGATGCTGAGTAAAACTGGTCGGACTTCAAGAAACCTACACCCTAGCAGCTACGACATTTTTGCTCACCAGCGTGATCAGAGTTTTTTCCACACCCTGAGCTTTTCTAGGCTTAACTACAGAAAGAGTCGGTACGCGTCTAAGAGTATATCCACCTGACAAACATCCTCTATGCCCAACCCTCTCTCACGGTAAGATCTAGAAGCAAGGGTTGCGAAAATGAACACTGAGTAAAACTGGTCGGACTGCAAGAAACCATGGATCCATTGGAGGTGGGGGCAGATGGATGCGAGCTCAACGATGGCGGGGATAAGGAGGTAGGAAACCTAAGTGATTGGAGGCGATGGCGTGGCTACGGAGGTAAGGATGTAGGCATGCGTATTAAACATGGATTGCTAACCCTTTGGTTTTATAGGGGTGATGGGTGCGAGGAAACCAACCACCCTCCTAGATCTCAACGCTTGCCATGGTCTGTCACCACGTCTCACCGTGGGGCATACGCACGCAACCTATGGCCACCCCTTGGAAAACTCACCAAACGTTTCGCCTCCCCGAACGGGCCACGACCTATCATAGGTAAGAGGGATACGGAGCTGAAAACACTCCTACGGCCTGTCTAAGCCTAGGAGTTTGAAGGTTGGCCCACCGACGGGTTCAACAACCGCTTTGGGCACTTTTAGAGTGAGGGGTGGAAAGGGATGGGCCCACTAGCGGCCAATACCTAGGCACACGAGTGCCGCGGGCATCCTGGCCCACGTTCGAGCCTCGGATGGATATGATCCATGGTTTTTCCTTTAAGAAAGATAGAGAGCCATCAAGACCGATCGAACGGACCTGCGAATTATATGGATTGACCGCTGAGAATCTAGTGTCGGTCACCAGCTGACCCAAGCTGGACCCCCATGAATAGGATGTTGGGGCCCCACTCAGACTAGCTCGTTAATAACTCATCGAGCACCATGGCTCGTCCATAGAGGAAAATCATGGCACGGCTCAGCCCCTCCATTTTTATCGGAAAAAATGCTTGAGGAAAGACGATCAAAAGATGAGCTGACCCTCGATCAGACCCCTTCTACGTGCAGGGGCTCGAGGAAAGTTGGACTCGTAAGGAGACCGAATGCACTGTTGCAGAACGACAGACGCCCGTAGGGATCGAAATCAGGAAAGACCTTTTCCGACCCACCAAATCTCACGGCTATACCCCCGAGAGGCCCGATCACGACAAAAGGGAATCACCGTCCCTAGGACACGCCATGGGCGACAAGAAAAGGCCAAGGCGCTCAGAGTCCTCCCATTCGGAAAAGCCTTCGAAGGAGTATTCTACTTCTCCACAGGCTCGAGGGCTACTATCGGGGACCAATACTAGGGTACCCGAAGAGAAGGAGCTAATGACCATCAATATTGATTCATCTGAGCAGTCAAAAGTGTGACTATAGCTCCACCCAACCCCAAGGCCGCAGGCTCTGCCTCGCCCGACCCTTGGGTTTGTGCTCCGCCTCGCTCGACCTTTGGGCGGGCTCCGCCTTGCCCGACCCTTGGGTTTGTGCTCCGCCTCGCCCGACCTCTAGGGGTGGGCTCCGCCTCACTCAACCCTAGGGTTTTTGCTCCGCCTCACCCGACCTCTAGGGGCAGGCTTCGCCTTGCCCGATCCTGAGACCACGGGCTCCGCCTCACCTGACCCTGAGGCCATGGGCTCCGCCTGGCCTGACCCTTGGGTTTGTGCTCTGCCTCGCCCGACCCCGAGGCTGCGGGCTCCGCCTCACCCGACGGGGACCCATACCACCGCCAATCACTCCAGGTCCAAACGTATGGGCCTAGATCAAAACTCTGACACCAAGGAAGAGACCGCCATGCCCTGATATAACACGTGGCCAAGACGGGCCATACATGAGGATTCACATCAAGAACAACGTCGGGCGTACCGGTGCTGTTCTGCCTAACCCCCGTATGAACGCTGACAGGCGCGTCAGCTCACCATGACATCCGCTGCGATGGAATGGAACGCCATGACCGGTAGACGACGCCTGCACATGGTGCCAGTAATGGACAGGGCCACAACATGGAGCTATCCCTGTTGACATCTACAGGGTAGGCGGGACCCGCGTGAAGGATAAGAAGGACCCGGCGATCCTGAAGGACTTCTTCTCTCTCTCGTTCTTCTCTTTTCCTCCGCTGTAACACATGCTTTCCCTTGGTCTATAAAAGGGAAAGCAGGATGTCCCATGAAGGGGGGCCAATCCGATTAAAACCAATCAATCGAGATCGATACAAGAAGCACGACACGAGTAGTCGGTTGAGCAGCAATCGAGCTCTCAGCACCCGTTCACTCCTTTCACCAGAGACTTGGGATCCTTTCCCTCTCTCGCCCATTTGTACCCCCTACTACAAACTTTCAGTGCTAGTAACACGAGTAGCAGCGACGAACTAGACGTAGGGACTTTCTGTCTGAACCAGTATAAACCTCGTGTCCTCTAAGCACACCATCCGAGCCAGACGCGCAATAATACAAATTTACTCGTCGGTGGTAACTCGAAACACCGACAATAACATTTAAAGAAATTTAGAATTTGTTATTGACACTTCTAGTGGGATTGTCCAATAACATTTCACTTATTGCCATCCTAAACGTCGGTTTGCTAAATTACCATCTTATTCCTTGTCAACATGCTACTTACCACTTTGGATGATTATACCCCTACCATCCTTTCCCTATTAGAGATGTCCAACTCGGTGGAAACCGTGGTTATGAGAGCATCTCCCCAAGAGATCTCAAAACACTTTCCCAACCTAGGATTTCTGCAAGATTAAAAAACACATTTCTAACAACTCCCAATCCCAGCTCCTAATCTTTTATAACTTGGAAAAACCGAGCCCCCAACGTGGAAAAATACGTGCACTTACGGTCGTGCGTATCTTGCTATGGGAGAGTGTTTCCTTCCTCAACGCATACCACTCTGGCTTGCCCTAGCCATGGCGTCGCTGCTGGCGCTCACCGTCATTTCCCTTCTCTTCCTCGCCATGACACACTTCTCATGTTCCTTCCTCGACGCGTACCGCTCCGCCGCCATCTCCCTGCCTTCTCCATCCACACCCTCGCGCCCCTGAGCCCCCCTTGCCCCCATCACCGAGTTGGTGAGCATATGTGCAGCGTTGGCCAGCACGGCCTGGGTGCTCGCATGGTCACTACTTCTTGGCGGTAGCTCCTTTGCAGCGCCATGGTCCCATCAAGCCTTTGGAGGCAGCGACGATCATGGTTAGTCATGAAAACCGTGGCGTCTTGTTGGTGTGGACACTTGGAATATGCATGAAACCCCTGCTCGGCTTTTTGCTCCGAGTTGACGATGGTAGCGCAGCCTACGTCATCTAACTCCTTGGAGCTATTGTTTGAAGATTCCATTGTTGCTACTTCGATTAACGATGGTGGTGTCTATGATGTCACTCTCCCTTTTGAAGGCATCGTTGAAGTACTCCTACAGCCATGCCTCCACTTTCTCTACTGCTTCCCTCGTCGGATTTGCTCCCAAATTTGCCCGTGCGCGCCTCATATACTTTTTGTAGTGGTCTACCTCGCTGAAGTGATCGATTGTTGCCATCTTTTGACTTTTGTAGTGGATGCTTTGCCGCAACCTCTCTTCCTCGGTGGATGCTTTGGTCCGTCCTCTGGCGGTTGCTGCCGAGAGCGCATTGGCCCCTCTCCCTGTGGATGCTTTGTTGTCGAGGTCACTTTGATTTTCTTTGGTGGATGCTTTGTCGCCGGTGTTGTTGAATGCTTAATCTTGTCTCATTCGGAGTTGATGCTTTGCCACCGCGGCTATGTCTCCTCTATAGGCAATCATTATGTTGATGATTATTCTTCTCACTGGCTCAGTCTGGTAGGGTTTCAGGGATGGTCCTGTCACTTCTTCTTTTTCTTTACTTTGGTTTGTTCTAGGTCGTTTATCACTAGCTTGGTGGTTTGCAATCTTTGTTACGAGAGTCTCTCATAGCTATGTTATGTAATTCTCTTCCTCTTAGGGTCTGTTTGGCAGAGCTCAACTCCTAGATTCTCTGGCTCTGCTTCTTGATTCTCTAGTGAAGTGATTCTACTTAATTATGATGGGGGAGTAGAGTGGGGAGCAGGTCAGAATTGATTCTAGAGTGATTCTTATAGTGTGTTTTGAACATGGAGCTAGCAGTGGAGAGCAGGGGTTTTCAGCTCCCAACTCCATGTGTAAATGAAGAAGTGATTCTTATCTACTCACGACATGAATCCGTGCGATATTTAACTATTTGGCTGGAGAGGAGCGGTTCTCATGGTTCCAAAGTTTCCTGCAATGGCCCCTGAATGAAACAAGTGCTATGACATATTTGTGAAAAATGTTTGGACACATGCATGGAGTATTAAATATAGACTAATTATGAAACTAATTGCATAGTTTGCGACTAATTTACGAGATAAATCTTTTAAGCCTAATTAGTCCATGATTTGACAATGTGGTGCTACAATAACATGTGCTAATAATGAATTAATTAGGCTTAAAAAATTTGTCTCTCGTGGCCATTTGAAAGCATTTCTGAAACATCACTGGTAACTGGATGACATATTATATAATTTATTTTTTATTAGTATCCAAACATATTTTGACACACGCAAATATGTAGATTAATTATGAAACAATCCTTACTTAATTTATGACACAATCTTTTAAGCCTATTAGTACATGCTAAATTTTAGTCACGATCCGAGCACCAGCTTATTCTGTCTAGTACTAATAAACAAACCAGGATAAATCACTGCTACTGTGCTGAATGCTGATGCATCTCTCATTCTTTAATCACGTGTCCCCTCCTTTCTTTGTTTCGGGAGTCCCAACAACACTGTTCCTGAATTCCTCCCGCGTTCCTCATTTCCCCTTTCCTATCCTATCCCTATGCTCCCCTCCCCTCCCCTCACCCCATTTGTGCTGTGATCTGTCCCTCAATCTCCCCCTCCTCTTCTTCCCCGCACCAGATCGAAGCTACTCCTGTTCCTCTGCGATTTGGGCTTGTCCTGTATCCTTCCTGTTGCTCAAAAGCTCGCTCCTTTTTTTTCAAGGCTGAAAGGCGAGACATCCGACGGGAATTCGGAGCACAGAGCTTTGAATCCAGGGGGCAAAACTTTTGCTCATCTCCCTTGCAGAAAAGCATCTTCTCTGCGTGTGAAAGTCGGATCTTTTTCGCAGATTCGTTTTGAAATTCCCGAGCAGGTCGACGACCGCGGTGTCGATAAGGTAAGATTCATGTCCCTTATTCTTCTTCGTCCTTCACTAGTACCATCGAAGCTGCGAATTTTTCATCTGATTTTAGTAATTGGAGTTGCCCGCCCAGGAATTCCTAGTCCGGTTCCGGTCCTCTCCCCTCGCCTTACGTTTCTTGCCTTGCCACACCTCAGCTCGAGCTGCTTATAATGCTAACATATATGTTCTGTGCTAACTCCTGCGGAAATAAATAAAATGTTTCCTTTAATTCCAACTGCGAAGAAAATCTTCAATGCTTAATTCCAAGTAGAACTCTTTGAATGTGCTGAAATAATGTCAAATTCTGCTATCCGCCTGCAAAAGGGGGTCAAAATTTGCATCCTGCGCAATGAATCAGTTAGGCCTTAAATTAATGTTGTGTTCCGTTGTCCTTTCCCCACCAGAGGGGATGGGGTTGGTTGCCCATGTTGCCATCATCTTGTGCTAAGTGTGAATCAAGAACTGGTTATTGACTTTATAGATGCTGTTAGACTATTCACCATTCAAGTGGGAATTGTATTCTCAACGATGGGCTTGACTTAGATATGCTCTAATCCTCTAATAGTCTTCCTTAGTGGTTGCTTAGTTTGTAGTGCATGCTATTCTTCCTGTTTGGTTGAATACTTTTCTTTGAGCATGATGCTGACATGGTTTATAAACCAAAGAAGGCTGCGGCTGATAGAAAGGATAAGGCACATCCACGATATTGCGTTGGCAGTGCTTTTTGATTTGTTTCTTTTAGTGTATTGGATGAGGCCAGGAGTTACTAATGCTTTGTCATTTGCATACTCTGTTCTGTTGCTAGCTTACTTGCTTTGAAGATCTTGATCACCACAAGAGATTTGGTGGATTTCTGGTTATTGTACCTTTTCTACTGGACATGTCCTTTCGCAGCATAGTCCGTGATGTTAGGGAAAGCTTTGGTAGCTTATCAAGACGGAGCTTTGAGGTCAGGATTTCCGGTTTGCCTGGTCATCATAGAGGGAAATCTGTTGGATCTCTGAGCGACAGACCTGTAGTAGTTGATCAAAGCAGGTGGGTTGGTCTTCCTCCTGAATTGCTCCGAGATGTAATGAAAAGGCTTGAGGAAGGGGAGAGCAATTGGCCATCCCGAAAAAATGTTGTTGCTTGTGCAGCAGTCTGTGGAACATGGAGAGAGATATGCAAGGATATAGTGCTGAGTCCGGAGTTTTGCGGGAAGCTCACTTTTCCAGTATCACTTAAACAGGTAACAATTGAATTCTGTTACCAGGGGTGGAAAGTTGCAGATCTCTGTTATTGAATATCGATTTTGCAGCTACTGTTTTTGTGTTACTCAATTACTTATACTCTCAAACAGTTGGAATAAATAAATGATTGTGCTGCCCAAAATATTAGGAACCAATATGCTCCAGTTTGCATATACCTGATATTATTGACCACTCTATGTGTTTACAAAATACTTGTCAGTACATGCTTCTCCATGCATAGTTTCCCATTTTTTCTAAATGAAAAATCACCTCACCCAAGCCCCCATTCTCCTAGCGGTTAGCCTATGAGAAATCATTTAATCTAGTTAGCTTTTTTGTGGGTCTATTGGTCAAGTGGCAAATAGGAATGATGGTTGTTGCAATCTTGTTTTTTGAGGCATCACCCAGATGTCCAGGTGTGACCCCAACACCACAAGATTGTGGACTCTTTCACTTGGCCCCAATATAGGAGGCGGCCACGCCGTCCACCTGCCTCAGCTCTTGACCCAGCTCGTGGCTAAGAAACGAAGGCGCAGGTCCTCAGGGAGCATGCACTGCTTGCATGGCCATCAGGCTGGTTAGGAAGAAGTCTCACGGAGTGGCTGTAGGCTGGTTAGGAAGAAGTCTCACGGAGTCTATTATTAGTAATGTGCATCGAATCTATAAGGGCACTGTAGTTGTGTAATGAGGTTTTATCGAAGGAAATAGACCTCCAAAGGTGGGCGGGTTTTTCCCCTTCGACGGTGACCGCCGGTGATCAGCCATGGCCACTGGTGACGAACCCGCTGCTCCTTTGCCTCGCTACCCCTTGCGCTCCCATTCTCAGTCCCAGCTCCTGCTCCACTCTCCCTTGCATACTCCTCATCGCCCACGCCGTATCACCCCAACACCACAGGATGCCACAACACCTAAAAAACCATGGTTACAATGCTCAAGTACTGACTTGTAGCAATTTTGGCTCTTGCAATTGAGAACTAGAGATCAGTTTCTGCAGTATAATATATATGTCCACCAACAAATGTTTGCACCCATCTAACTTTGTTTTTTCATGTGTAGCCGGGACCAAGAGATGGAATAATCCAGTGTTTTATAAAAAGGGACAAATCAACGTCAACTTATTATCTTTACCTATGTCTTAGCCCTGGTAAGTATAAAGCCTGCACTCTGTTTTTCTCATTAATATCCTTCTGAACGATCCCATGTAAATTTGGAAGTTTGTCATGAAACTGAAACTATATTGTATTGTCACCTTATATGAATAGGGGAAAACGTTTAAGTTAATTCCATAGCACGCCTTTGCTCTAGTGATTTTCCAAATCAGATTTGGTTGAGAACCAAATGTGTTGCTTCCTGTGGCTTTTGGGGTATGTTTCAGTCCTTTGAAATTCAGGAATATTAGATATGAACAAAGTGACCTAGAAACAGTACCAGATTTTGTTTCCCATTACCCCCTGTAACAAGAGGAGTTTTTGGAATGCAAAAGATATAACTTTTTTTTAGATAATGGATAAACATCCGGCCTCTACATCCGTAGATGTACACAGCCCAAAATTACAGATAATGATAAAACCAAAAAGAAAGCCAAGGTCTTATAACATGACCAAGACGCTAACTTAAACAATAAAATTGTTTCCATCCGTTATTGGATATCTCTAGAGCAATAACTTCTAATTTCTTGCTTATTGTCGAGAGCGCGTCCTTAGCTTGCTCTACACGCTGCAGCTGGGCCCAGAAGCGTAACCAGTACGCTCCCCTGAAAATGACCTGCATAATAGAGTTAGATTTTATTTTATTAAAAACAACATCATTACGGCATCTCCAAATAGCCCAACACATAGCAGCCACTCCCACCCAAATCAAATTTCTAATCCTTTTATTTTGATTAGACAGCCAGTTACCAAACATGTGGCTGATTGATCTAGGTTGAGTTAAACTAGTAGCAAAGAAGATAATCCTCCAAATCATTATGGCAATAGGGCAGTCCAGGAATAAGTGTTGAATAGTTTCATTCCCATTGCAACAAACGCAATTCTGACTCCCTTTCCAATTTTTCCTAGACAGGTTATCTTTGGTAAGAATGACACCTCTTTGTAGGAACCAGAGGAAAATTTTTATTTTTAGAGGAACTTTTATCTTCCAAATCTTCCTATGCCGAAAAGATGTATTTGTATCTATAAGGTTGAGATACATGGATCTGACTGAGAATGAACCTGAGCTGGTTAAACTCCATCTAAAATGATCAGATCCATTTATTAGTTCGACATGAGAAATACTTGCTACTAGACTAAGCCATTCTGTAAGTTTATTACCCACCAGAGCCCTCCTAAAAGAAATATTCAGAGGGCTAGTGCTCATTATCTTTGAGACTGTAGCGTGAGGATCTCTCACAATATTATATAAAGATGGATAACGAACTTTCAGAGGCCTAGCACCTACCCATACATCATCCCAAAATCTAGCCGTGGTTCCATCCTTAGAAAAACTTACAATTTTGTGTGTGCCATACTGCCATGATGCATGCAAATATACAGTTTCTTGTTCTATTAGTGCTTCGTCTCAGTGATCTAACATTGATGATGATAGTAAATTAAAGAAGGATTGACTTACTCTTTGACACCCTTAATGAGATCGGATAAACTGTTATCACAAATAACTTTGCTTAATGCTTTGGTGGTTTGGGTTTTAGCTGTCCTCAGCGAGGATGGGAAATTTCTGCTAGCAGCTAAGAGGAATCGCCGTACAACATATACTGAGTACATCATTTCTGTGGATCGTAAAAATATATCACGATCAAGTAATGGCTATGTTGGAAAAATGAGGTGAAGTATCTTGCTTGACTACATTTTCTATCTAACCTCAAATTATTTGAGTTTTGGGCGGTGTTTTCTGTTTGGAACTGACATTGTTGTGTCAACAGGTCAAATTTTCTTGGCACTAAATTCATCGTGTATGACACTCAAACTCCACACAATGCTGGGAGCCTTGTCTCGTGTGAGCGCGGGAGCCGCAGAATCTCCTCTAGGAGGGTTTCCCCAAAGTACCCACTGCTAGCTACCCCATTGCCCGGGTGAACTATGAGCTAAACCTGCTTGGCACAAGGGGGCCCAGGCGTATGAATTGCACGATGCATTCCATCCCAGCCTCAGCGCTAGACCCTGAAGGCATGGTGCCTGGCCAACCCAAGCAGCTCTTCGCCCCTGGCTCATCTTCCTTTGGAGAATCCTTTCGCAGTGCAAACACCTCTTCCAGCTCAAGGTTCTCAATTACAGACCGCTCCTTGGACTTCAGCTCCTCGCGCTTCTCAGAGATAAGCGGATTGGCTCAGCAAGATGAGGACAGTGGCCAGGGTAAGGAGAGGCCTTTGGTTCTCCGCAATAAGGAGCCAAGGTGGCACGAGCAGCTGCAGTGTTGGTGCCTCAACTTCCGTGGTCGGGTGACCGTGGCTTCTGTGAAGAACTTCCAGTTGATAGCTGCACCACAACTAGATTCTGAATCGTCACAGCAAGCTCAGCAGCAAACCCAGCCTTCGAATTCATCTTCGGCATCGGATCATGACAAAGTGATCCTGCAGTTTGGAAAGGTTGCCAAGGACATGTTCACGATGGACTACCGGTACCCGCTCTCGGCATTCCAGGCCTTCACCATCTGTTTGACCAGCTTCGACAGCAAGCTGGCTTGTGAATAGATTATTCATAAAGAACAGGAATGCATGTAGATTGTATCTCCGTGCAATAAATATTTATAGTGTGCGTGCTGGTGTAGTTTATTGCCGTGTTGATTCAGCCCATGTTTAGTTTCAACTCAAAATTCCAAAAAGTGCTACAGTAGCCATCACATCGAATGTTTACGGCCCGTGCATGGAGCATTAAATGTAGACGAAAAAAAAATTAATTGCACAGTTTGGTGGGAAATTGCGAGACGAACGTTTTGAGCTTAATTAGTCCATGTTTGAACACTAATTGTCAAATAAAAACGAAATAAAAATGAAAGTGATACAGTAATCCAAAATTCTAACTTCCTGAAACACGGCGCTTTAGTGTGACTTGTCAAAGGCTCAAAGCTAAGAATCGGCAGTAGTTATGAGCTGGAGTTGTTTAATACACTTTCATGTCTGTAACTTGGTAACGCAAAATGTTCAGATATTAAGTTTCAATACCTTGTTTCAGCCTTTAAATATGTTTCTTTTACCATCGATAAATCATATAACTAACAATATGTAACTTCACGGAGAATTTGCCACTCTTTCGACAACCAAGGTTTTAGATAGAACATTTACCAAATGATGTGTATGGTTCTACAAAAGACCAGCTATAGCCCCCATTCCCAGTACCATTCCAAGAGGACATATTTTACATTTCAGTGATCATATTGCTATGAAAATTATGTACAACTGTGAATCAACAGCCTTCACACACCAGAAGAATCTCAAACAATTCCTTGAATCTCTTAGAACCTCCATAAACCGCATAAACTGGAGGATCTTTACACACATAATCCTATGATTGATCAAGCAACAGCCTAAATCCTGAAAGCAGATGACAAAGGAGGACATCTGCCTTCAAATCCAACCATTCACAGCCCTGATGAATAACTTGGTGTCTGCACTACGGAAATGCAGAGGGACCAACTTTTCCAAGAATAGGCACATTTATATACCATCAGGAAAGTTCGTCTGGGTGTTGTTTTTGCTCAGGAGATGAAGGTTGTGCAGCATTTAGTACCGACAAGTCCAGACCCCTAACTTCGCTAAAGATCTCTGTCTTAGTTCTGGTAACAGGAATCTCAGTCTCTGAATCTGGTGTGCGATATTTAAAACCAGTGCTTCCAGACTCCAATTCTTCATTGCTGAGTCCATCTGTCCTGCGCCCTGTGGTCTTGAGGATGTCAAGACCCATTTCTAGATCCTCAACCTTGGCTCGGGGACGTTGGTGTGCCTCATCTTCTGGTACATTGGAAGGGCTATTCTGTGGCCGTGCTACCTCTTGTTCTTCTTGAACAATAGCTCTTAAGTTGATCTTAGAAGGCTTCCTTTTTGTGCACAAAACCTCATGACAGTTGCGCACACAACCACGGTCATACACGTTTGGTTGGTTGCTGTACTTGTACTTGATATTCTCATAGGTTGTCTTTAGACAAAGGAAGAAAAGATTTTGTTCAGTAAAATAGAACAGTAGTTGTTTAGCAAGTAGCGTATATAGTACATACTGATGCACCACTTTTTTAATTTCCAATTAAAAAATCAGGATAAATTTTAGGTGGTATTGTTGTGTTCATTTTTTTCTTCAATATGGTAGGTTACAGTTACATATCTTGAGCCTATCCACCATTCTTTTTATTTGGTAAAAAAGCTTTAGGAATTATGCCTTGAGATTTGCTTGGAGGGCTAACCTTGTTTGTCGCAATAAGGTAAGAATGGAACCCAGTGAGACCACCGACGAACCAGAAGCAAATGAAACAATATGCCATGACTGCTAATGAAGCTGGAGATTCTTTAATGGCCTTCCCCACCGAATAATGACCCCTATTCATGAGAAGCCTGATGTACAATCCACACATTGCACATACATAGATACAAAGCACTGCCGCTGAAGAAACAAAACAGAAGAAGTACCGGTAATTTCGCTGCAAAGGAAAATGAAAGCAGATAAGCCTAGGCTGTTTTATAGGAACAGTTGTCAGGCTGTATAATTTTTTTTTTAAAATGAATCCATAACTTGTTCTCTGAGAAAATAAAGAAACCAACATAACTGACCTCTCCAATACATTGCCCAACCCAAGGGCAGTGATGATCAAAGCGCTCGACACAGTTATCACATTTGGAGCAGTGGGAGCAGCGAGGAGGCCGATATATCATGCAAGTTTCACAGTATTTCACTTTCACAGGCATGCCATTGACCATAACCTCTTTTACCCGAGGGAACTGAAGAGCATGTGGAGCTGAAGCATCATAAGAGAACTCTTCCACAGGTGGGTGTGAATTTCGTGGTACAATACCTGGATCTTGAGATGAGGTAAGGAAGAGCAGTAACAGTACCTAACAATCAGGTTTTGCAGAGAAGGGTACTATGATTTTGGTGCTACACACATAAAAAAAGTAGGAAATAAATAGTGACATAACACGTTCCACATTGCTCAAAGAGAACATAAATTCTGGAGAACAGATACTTATAGAACAGATATGATTATAAGACTCATGCTTCACTCTTCTAAAAAAAGATGCACACGAACCAAGTATGTCCGGTGATGGGATGGCTGATCAGAAGTACTTAAGGTTGCAATATAGCTGTGTTAGTTGGTATTCCCTCCGTTCCAAATTATATGCCGTTGTGGCTTTTCTAGGTACATTGCTTTTGCCATGTAGTATCTAGACATAACACAAGATCTATGTACCTAGAAAAGCCAAAATGACTTATAATTTGGAACAGAGGGAGTACTAACCAAAAGAAAAATATTACCGCATGAGGTTCCTTTCATGACTACAATGATATCAAATGCCCCATCCTTGTAAAAACTACAGAAAACCTGCAAATCATATTCACCTGTCTGTGTGGGAATAACTAAATTTCATTACAACAAAATGAGCATCATTCTTTTGTCTCGAAAGAAAAAAAAACTGATTTTCTTAGAAAGCACCGTCAGGTTGCAACATGGTATGCTATTTTTAGTCATATTAGGAAAATTTCTCCAATTGAATGTACTGGGAAAGAATGGGTACTCACATAAACGGTAAGGCCTATGGTGACAGCAAGAATTGCATAGCCTGCATTATATGCAGGGAAGATGTGTATGAGATGCCTGGCCACAAAGACGCAGAAGACAGCGACAGGGATGGCAATTAGAGCAAAAGAAATCAGGGTGGCCTTGGCATCTGGTCCAAAGATCAACCTTCCACCACATAGTATCATCTGAACAAAGAGAAACAAAATACTGAAAATCTGACAGCATATATAACAGAAGCTAGTGAATGAAATGAAGACAGACGAGCAGGAGCAGAACAGAACATACTGAAAATCTCATACCAAGTTGATAAAGATTGAGTAGGTCAGCATTGGTAGTAACATGTTAGCTTGTTGAGGCATCAAAAGACTATACATTTACAACTATCATGAGCCCTTCCAATCCATGGTGAAGGAAAAACAGCGTAGTAGTAGTAGTAGTAGTAGTAGTAGTAGTAGTCTGAACTCTGAATAAAATGAATGCTGAAACCTATGGACCTAAATCCTATGTCGTGCAGGGATTTTGGGGACATTTTCCTGTGAGCAATCTGAGCCTCTTAATTATTTGGGATCAGCTAGCGCTAAGTAAGAAGAGGCAAAACACAGGATGGTGAGGTGTTGGACCAACCATACTACCATATCATGGAATACCTACCAGGTGGTGGGATTATCTTATTAGGGGTAAAACAAAACAATACAGGGGAAGGTTATGGTTCACATAGGCTGCCAAGGTGTGCCCAAATCTAGCGTGGATAGTAGTTTATTCATCCATTCACAGGAGTCTGCAACACCACTGTAATAAGGGGATAAACAAATGAGAAACCGGAATGGATCAACAACTAACTAGGCAGACAATCCCGGCATATTAAAGATACAACGGCCGTCCTGTCCGTGCAGCTGCTAGTCATCATCTTATCCACCGCATCACAGAAGCCCTGTTCTATCCAGAGCGGCAGTCACATGGCCATGTTAGGCCGCCGGATGCAAGCAAGAAACCAAGAAGAAACTAGCACAGTAGGCAATCCCCGATGTGTGGAATGGATCCAAAACTAAGAAAGGTGCGACCTTTAGTAAGGAGGACCCAACCCAAGAAAGAAGCTCGTGTCGGTACTAGGGAGGGGGGAAGAGAGAGGGAGGGATGGCAAACTCACGTTTTTGCCTTTCCAGACTTGGTAGACCCGGCGCTGCTTGTGCTTGGCCGTGGCCATGGCCGGCGGCTCCGCTCCGGGGCCGGGAGAGTCTGTCCAACAAGCAGTAGCAGCGAGCGCTCTTGTTCCAATTCCGGCGGTTTGTGAGTCCTTGCTATTTGGAATTGGATCGAGGGATAAGATTTCGTCCTGCTCTTCTATCTTCTATCTTCTGTCTATGGGTAGGTAGTAGAAGTAGAATAGAAGGACATCACAACACATCCGCCCGGGATTGGATTGGATTAGAACTTGGAAGCAGGAAAACAGGAACAGGATGGTGCGTCCCGAATCGAAACAGGGCTGTGTTGTTGCTCTTGCCCTTGCTGGCGGGGGACTTCTTCTTCTGTCTCTTGTCTCTGTTCCCTTCCCTAGAGGCCTAGAGTAGACAGACTATCCCAGAAAGGAAGTAGAGTGGTGGAAATGGAATCAATGAGAGTCGTGGGTGACCTAACTGAGCGAGTTTAGGCTGTCACGCACACACGGCAATGACCAATATGGCATGGCAATCGTCGGGGGGCGGCGGAAGACGAAACAAGGAAAGGAGGGATAAAGAAGAGAAGGTATCGTATTCGATTCCCTTCCCTATCCCGCTCCTCTGTATACTCTGTTTCTTGAGGCACGGCAGGGCAAGCCAGAGGCAGAGGCAGAGGCAACACGAAACGAAACCGTGTTTCTTCCTCTCGTGTCGTGTCTCCGGATGAATCGTGTCCCCCTTTCCTCCCCTGCTGGCTGGCTACTGCATTCTTTTTCTCTCTCGCGCGCGCTCGTGAGTATTTCCCACTTCGCACCCACCTTTTCTAACATATAGGAATAATAAACATTTTCTATCTTTTATTTTCCTTTAAAAAAGGCAGATGAGACGATATCGGTACAGGAGTCTTAGTGTCGACGAGCACACTGCTTATATATACTGCTGCTAAACACACGAGCATCAGTGACAAGTTATGGATTTCGCAAAAGTTACTTCACGGGCGACGCCCTTGCTTGCGCACCTGCGCCCCGCGCGACGCCCGCGCCCCACTCACCCATGCCCGACCGCGCCTCCACTCTTCTTCCCCAACTCTGGCTAGGGGTCCGGCGGCCTGCTCTCTTCTTCTCCAATTCCGACGGGTATAGAAGGGGCTGGTCGAGGGGAGGCAGGCTGGCTAGGCGGTGGGGAAGGAGGCCGGGCGGCTTAGGGTCCTGGTAGCGAGCGGAGGTGGTCAGGCCAGGGAGGGGTGAGGCACCATGGCCGGAGGGAGGTCGCCGCGGCGGGAGCTCGCCTTCGCGGGAGGGGGAGGGGAAGAAGGCCGCCGTCGCGGGTGCGCTAGGGCCGTGGCCCTAACGTGTCGGAGCTTCGTCGAACCCTAGCTTCCCGCGGCGGGGTTGTGGCCGCCCGCGGGGGTGAGGATGAGGAGGAGGGTGGGGTTGAGGATGAGGAGGAGGGCGGGCTCCACGACGCGGGAGGTGGCAGTGGAGGAGACGCGCGGAGAGGAAGAAAGGAACATGGAAGGAGACTGACGCGAGGTTGAAGACGGGTCATGCGTTCTTGGAACGCGCAACCCGTCACGCCTCAACATCGTCCTAAGGATTTCAGTCCAGGTGAATTAATTCCAGCAAAATAACCTAACCAACTAGACTACACTGACTATGCACACTATCGATCAATCAATAACTTATGTAATTCCACTGGGGCCTTAAATAATGTGCTTCTCCGTATGAATTTGCAAATGGGGCATGTCATCATTTTTTTTTTCTTTTGAAGAATCACTGCATCGTATGATTATAGTTGAGTTGTGGCTGAAATATCTGTCAGCCTTTGTGTTTCCTATATGTACTACCAGTACTGCTAGCTACTGTCAGTGGGCCACGCATTGCATTGCAGGGGAATTCAATGTGTGTTTTGTGTACCATTGCATCAATTCAGATCCATCCGAGAATTAGGAGTCAAAAGTCCATAAGCAAGCTCCGAAACTTTAGTGTTCCATACTGATACTGGGAGTATTTGTGATTTTTTTTTGAATCCTCTTATTGCGTCAAACTGCTAGGCTAAAAACTACGTAGTTGAAAGCATCAAAGCTTGTCATGCACTGCTTCCTGAAAATAAAAAGTTTGCTAGTACTAAAACAATTTCGATCACTTGTAACGAACCACCCAATTTCCTGGCTCCAAGAGACAAAACATACTATTATTTTGTGGAAACTGAGTAGATTAGTTCAGGAGATCAAGTTGCATGCAGAAGGATTTAAAAAAAGGCGCTGTCTGCAAAATAAATCTGAAGAGCAATCTTAACGTCACCCCTCACCCGGTTATTATCGAGGGGGCTGTTAAAAGATTTGGTAAAAAGAAGAAGAAGAAGCTTGTGATAAGCATGGATCGGCGGCCAAGGCGATCGCCGCCTATGCCACCGCCACCGCAGCACCATAGCGCTTAGCTGCAACCACAATGCCGCTACGCACTTGCACCACACGCCACCACTCACGCTAGGCCCCTCTTTGCCTATTAGAACGCCTTAGGAACCCCACCGCAACATCGCACCATCGCCGCTGCTCCGGCAAGCCGCCATCGCCGCTCCGCGCCACCGCCACCACCCTCACCTACCCCCTAACGCCACGCTGGAGTCTCGGGAGCACCGTCCGCCTCTTTCCACCAAGCTTCGGACAAAGACGCCACCGGCGTAAGAAACTCTGGCAAACTCCTCACCGTTGCCCTGCTCTGCCACCGCACTGGGCCGTCGCCGTTGTCCCTCCGTTCCCTCCGTCTCCTCTTCTCCCTCTGTCACGCGGGCCCCGCCCTAAACGGCATCCAACACCGGTTAGAGGGAAGGAGCGAGGAAGGCCCATGTGTCAGCGACGGTCTCACACTGACACACCGACCCCACCTGCCATACACACACCCACTCCACCGTGGACAGCAGGAGGAAAAATGCTGGGTACACCCATGCAGTGTACACAGAAGACTACAAACCCATTTCTGTGCATAGAAAAATTCCCAAAAATTTCTAAATAAACTACGTACACCCCAGATCCTACCCAAATATTTTCACCTCATTTCCATTATTCTAATTCCCAGAAATAATTTCCAAAACCTATATATCATTTATATTATTTCTTTTTAACTTTGAAAATCCATATCTCCACCCTCCCAACTCCACATCCCTTGCTTCCACCACCAAAATCCTTCTAAAATCAAGCCCTACTTATTCCTATCATTTATCCCATTAATTGGTGCCCATTTAAATTCTAGTTTTGTTTGTTCCTTTTTTATAGTAATTGCTAACTCTAGTAGAAGCCCATCGCCGTAGCCGACCTAGTATATTTGCGTATGCTAGCATATCGCGACACATGCCCGAATATATATATGTACCCAGTCACCTAAAATAGTAACCCCGTAGGTGTATACACATATGTGGAAATACCCGATACCCGGGTACACACCGATATGTGGCTAACTTAGCCTCTTCACCTCCCCCTTCTTCCTTGCTAACCCCAGGCACATACATATGCTCGTGTGTGTGTGTCACTAACCCCGTGGACCTAAGGAGACCCACCAGGTCATCTATGATGACTTGGTCAGGCCTTCTTCCTTCAGGTTAACATAATAGTGAACCCCTAATAATGTGGTCTGGTTTTCTATCAGTCCAGCCACTCTCCCACCTAGCCCATAGAGCCCTACCCTGTGGATAGAGTACCTCTATCCAAACCCTACTACAGGTTGACATAATAATGACAACCTAACTGACAATCCATCAACCCATAGGACCAACCCATAGGACCTTCCCTTTACCTAGATTGATTGTGCCTCTTTGTTTTTTTCTCAGTTTGTACGCCTGGTTGTCGACGCTAGACCACGTAGGATAGAAGACGAGAAAAGAACCCGATGGAGTCCAGAAGACAGGAACAAGAGCCACATGTACCGATGAAGGGATAGTCGTCAGCGAATGGAGGCAAGTCCTAACTCCACCTTTCCCCCTCCATATCTAAGTAAACCCCTTAACCACCTCCTTCTCACCACCACCATACTTGCTAGCCTCCACATCAACCCTCCACACCCCTTCTCCACCAATTAATAACCCAACCCTTTACACCTAACCCCCCATCATGCAATAATAAAACCTGCACAAGATAATGAGGATAAGACAATGTTTACCTTGAAATGATATGAACTTAATGAACCTGACGCTAATAACTATGGAACTTAAGATTGTAAAATTTGACTAAACCCCATCGGGGGCGAGTGAAGGGTAATTTGTGCGGTACAGGTTACCTTGGCAGGTTCGCCTAGCGAGGGTTCCTATTGGGAGATACTCGCCTTGGTCATATAAGGACCAGTTCGTAGTCCCTCTCGCCAAGTGCGATATTACATACATCCACATGTCTATATGGGTAGACTGGATCTCACACCCCGTTGGCGGAAGTATAATTTCTACTAGGAGGCCGGTGATGGCAACAGAATATCAGGAGCAGACATGGATGCTATGTGATCTTCCATGGTCTGGTTGGTGTGGATGCTAGGTGATCTTCCACGTTAAGCCCCTTAATTTTGGTCGTGTTCGAGCCCATGATTATTATTGAATGTGGGGATGATTAGGTATCATCTTGGATCTGTGTGTTTTCTAACCCCTGAGAAGCCATGATAGAGTTATATGGAAGTCTAGGGTAGCACCCAAGCGGGTACGGGATCTCATTAGGCATGTTTCTGCCACCGCGCAAAGCTTGGAGCTGTGTCTATCATGTGGGAAAAATTGTACGCCTCTATAGAGTTTATCAAATCTATTCAAATGGCTACGTCCTTGGAATGGGTAGATGATAGGATGGGATACTATGATTAGACTTCCACAACTATGATAATCTGGTAAGATCTGTTTCACTGCTTTGGTAACCATAACTAACACCGGGAACTTGTGAGAATGGTGATACTCTCCTAGGGCTCAACTTATAATGATTAATTACTTCACCCTACCACCTTTACCTAGACCACCTCCACCACTATACCCACCTCCACATATAGCCTTCCACTTTCCACGTTCCTCCACCCAAAGT